TTTTTTTTTACTATATATAAAAAAATATGAATATATGGATTCTCTACCAATTTAACAACAAAAGTTAAGACAAATCTTGATGATAAAAAAAAAATTAAAATAAATCTTATATATAAATTTAGTTTACAAAGTCAGTTGCCTAGTCAAGGTCTGAATATCTAACCTAACGTTTTATAGGATTCAATTTGCAAACAATGTCTTATGTAATTTATAGTGATTGATTTTATTCCTATTGTAAACAGTGAAGAGATGTTACTTTTTCTTTTTTGATCCTTATCCTCTTGTGTTTTTCCTATCCAATGATGAGTTTTTAAAATTAATACTCGTACGTAGTTGATAAATTATAGTCTTACGCTTCTTACCTCTTCTATTTGTTTTTTTTAAAAAAAAAAAAAAAATTGATAATCATCTCTTTTATACTCCCTCTAGACTTATTTTTTCATGTTTACCCTTACTAATAATTAATGAAAAAATGTTGCTGCTTTTTTTTTTTTCAAAAGTAAAAGTAAAATTGAAATATTAGCATGTAATGTGTTATTAAATGGAAAGTGAAATAACTAAATTAGGTCACCCCTATTTAAAAAATGTAACAACTAAGTGCATGTTTGGTATAGCTAATGGAAAGTCCTATTGGATTTCAAAAGCTCCAACTGCACTAAATATTATAACTTATAAAAAATGTTACAATTTCTCACAAGTTAAATTTTTTGTCCATTTCATTACAAATCTTAAAAGTACCGAATTGATGTTTCTGCAGGAGTTTGTCATTTGAGTTTTAATGAAATTAACATATTATTTATATTTTATCCTTATTTTTCTTTTTATTTACAAAAATAGCACTTTTACAACAGTTTTTTTTCAATGAAATTTTTATTAAAAACTCCAACCACACCAAACAGACACTAAATTTGCCCAGAGGAAGTAATTGTTATATGAACTTATTTTAGTTTTTATATAGAGGGTTTAAACTTTAAATTAAGTTGAACCAATTCCATCTCTGAAAATTAAAAAAAAAAAAATGAAGTAAAGTTTCATGTTCATCTAACTATATTACTCAATCTATTCAACAATGGTAGTCTTACTTAAACTTGTTGATTTTTAATTAATAAAAAGTTTAGGTAAAATTTAGCATAGCAATTGAATGTCAATTAAATTTTTTTTCTTATATGTAATTCTTGGTTTAGTAATTTTATTTCATTGAAAAAATTTCGTTTTTATTTATATAATATATTAAAAAGATTGAGAAAAATCAAGACATTTTAATAATTAAAATATCAGGACTAATAATGAAAAAAGTAGAATACCATTGAATGAATCAACATATAAAAAAGTTTATTAAAAATATTTAAATAATTTCATAAAGAATCTTGATATTTAAAATGTCAAGACATTCTGATTTTCACTTTTTTTATGTGTTAAACTTTTGCTGAACTCTTGATCTTAAAAGTCAAATTAAAACTACTATTTTTGAATGAAAAATTATTAGTGTACCTTCTAATTTAACATACTAATTAACCCTCATCAATTTAGTTATTAAATTCTATAGTTGAAAGTTTTCTCTCCTTGAATTTAAATTTAAAAATTATAATTTTTTAATAAATATGTTATAAAGTGTGTTAAATCAAATAATATAGTAATTATT